CGCGCGGCCCCACCTGAAGGAAGGGGGAGTCCCGGTGCGGCCGATGTGACCCACAGCTTCCCTGCCGTGCCACTCAGAAATAACAGCCTCGGTAGGCCAATGTGACAGGCAGCGTGAAATATTTTAATGCTGCCTCGATTCCTATGAGGAAAAAAACCCGGAAGATCTCCTGGCTGCGTTTCTCGTAAGAATTTGAAAGATATTTAAGATGGTTTTGCGTTGTCATTATCAAACTGGTGCCGGCTGAATAGGAGAAAAGGCACAGCAGCCTGAGAAGGATATCTTCATCATACCTACCTCGGTGTGGTATGTAATTTCTGCGAGTTGTAGCATTGCCTCGTTAATAATAGGGATTGGCTTCAGTGTTCTCATCGCTGTTGGACAGTAGGAAGATGCTAGCTGTCAGTTCTGGATAGTTACTGCTTTGGAGAGGATGTTATGAAAGGTCTCCTATTTCTTTTTCCTAGGCCAACTGGCATAGCAAGAAGCGCCTGCACCCCAGCAGGAAATACTGTAATCAGTGGACACAGCCTGGGCTCTTCCCACTGCAGCAGACAATTTTATAGACCAATGTGTAGAAGTCAGTATTGGGTAATGTGGCCAGACATCTGGTTCAGTAGCATGGAGATTTAAAGGTACTATGCTTGAGTGAGACTGGTTTAAAAATGGCATAGCTCAGACCTAGGAATCTGGGAGTACTGGTTATTGACTGGTTTAATGTTCAAGAGTAGAATCTGGCACCAGAATCAGGTAGTTACTCAGTTAGCCTGCAGAGCACTGCCGAGATCTGTTCGTTAGGTCCCTCTTCAGTTTTTGTTTAAAACCCCTATCATAACAGGAAAAAAAAAAAAGTCAAAGAGTAAATATTGCCACAGGAAATTAAATAACTTTTGCATTGATTTTTCCTTTTGTATAATCTGATGAGGGTAAGGACGCTCCAAGAACATGTGACAATAGCTGTGGTTAGATATTCTGTTTAGAATGGTCCTCAAAATGAAATTTGACCACGTGCACACAATTTTTTATCTATCTAAATTCTTCTCAGTCATTTCAAGTCTTTTGTAATAATTTATTAGTCTTTTAACATCTGGGTTGGCAGGGATTAATAGACTTTACGTGAGCAAGTATAATGTCATTAATTTTTTATTAAGAGTGTTTGGTAATGTCTCTGACAAAACTTTTTTCTGCTTTATTTAAATTCTGGATTGTATTTTGGGATACGAGTAATACAGTTAAAATATATGCCTGAATTGCACACTTTGGTCAGTAGAAAACTGGAAATAACAACTCAGCCTTTTTGCTTAGCTTCAGAATTAGTGATGAGTATAATCGGCATAATAAGAGCTCGTATCAGTAAGTTTGGATTCAAATGCGAGTGTGGCATAGACACTGGTACCTTGTCATTTGACAAGATCGGGATTTCTTTGGTCAGCAAGGAAACCTTTGTAGGTCAGCCTGAAAGTTAAAGGCTTTGTGGGTCCTTTTTTGTGTGAAGAAGGAAGAATGCAAACCTTCCTTAGTGCAATCAAAATGGAAGGGATAAGAAAATCCTTTTTTTTCTCACTTTCATATTAAACATTATAGGATTACATGACACTCTGTGCTGTCTGTTTTCTTCATAGTCCTTTGGCAAGTGTTATTGCAAAGGAGCTCTGCAAAATACAGGTTCATGCTCATCTTTTTGCACGAATCTGCATGACCCAGCCTAGATTTAATATACTTCAGATTAATTTCATTCTTTGCCTTGTTCTGACTTTCTCTGTCAAAAAGGGTACTATATAATTCAAGTGCTATATTCTTGTTTTATCTGCCATTTTAGAATTCTTTTGAACTGAAAAAAAATAGTTTTCTTCCTGTATGCTCGATTTAAGTTCTTTGTTCTTTTCCTAACCAGTTTCAGTTTAATGTGGTTTTGTGGTTAATAGTAGTTAATATTTCACTTTTTATGCTTGTCCTGCTTTTCTTCAAGGGTATAGATAAAAATGGCATATATGAAGCTATAGCTTACTTTCAACTATTGTGGGTTTCAGACATAGTAAAAATACTGCTTTTAATATCACTAACTTTTTCATTATTTCAGAAAAATTATTTTTGAGAAGCAGTGGTTCTATCTGGATAATGCCATCGGACATATTTATGGAACTACTTTTGAAGTAACCAGTGGTGGAAACCTCCAGCCAAAGCAAGAGGTGGAAGAGACTACCACAGGTATTACAGAGGATTGACTGGTGTTTGGAAAAACAAGTTCTAATTAATTTGTTTCTTTGATAATACCGAAGATGATGGAAAAGCTTTCTATTAATCATTTGTTAACTTAACGTTACTTATATTCTTTCTGTCATAAAAGTGCATGGTTTTGTCTTGATCTGCTGTTTCACTAGTCCTGTAACAAATCAGCTTTTTAATATGGGAGAAAATTTGAACCTTAGTTTGGGTGAATATATATACTAAGGTGTATTTTACATATTACATTTCACTGATTGCTGAGGCAATACTTTGCAAGGCCATGAAGCATGTGGGTTTAATCCTGAGAAGTCTGCTTTCTGTGAAACTAAAATCATATGTTTCTCCAACTTAAAGATATTTAGAGCTAGATTTTACAAGTTTATATCCTTTTCCTTTAGAAACAAAAGAAGCAGGTACAGATAATCGTAACATAGTTGACGATGGAAAGTCTCAAAAACTGACTCATGATGACATAAAGGCTTTGAAGGACAAGGGTATTAAAGGACAGGTAAAAATAAGGTTTTGGTGTCGTTTCTGTGCTACCTTGATGGTTGTATTTTAGTTTATGAAATAGGCTATTCTTTTTATCGGTGCATAGACTTCAGTGCTTTTTCTTTGTTCTTCTGCTCAAGTCATGTTTTTCCTAAAGATCTGTTTTTACAAAAATGCAAAGGCTATTTTCAGAGAAAACTTCATGTAAGGTTGGCAACTTTGTCAATAGAGAGTAAAGTATGAATTTTTATGGCATCAGAAGTCATAACAGACAAAAAGAAATATTAAAACTGTTAAGGAAATAGACCTTGCATAATCACCTTTAGTTTTGTTTGTAAGATTCAAAATATTATTTCTATATTACAGACGTATTAAAATTGTGCAATAATTAAACTATCAAAGGTGTAGGAAAGGATTAGGGATAAACACCAAAGTATTAACAAATAACACTATGTAACAAATGTACTGTCAGTGCGCCTCTAGGCGGTACCTACCAAACATGTGTGATGCCTATGTTTTATCTGCACCTCAAAAGCTAAGAATATTCTCAAAAGATCAGTTCTGTTCTGTTAGAAAAGGGATTGGATTTTACCCCACACTTCGTCAACAAGAAGTGAGGCCATCTTAAATGTTAATAAACCATTGCAGCCAATTCTGTTCTGCACATGTTATCAGCCAAAATTCTCTCTCATCTTTGGTTTACCCTTTCTAATAAAAATAAGAAATTGCTCATGCTTACATCAAGTTCATCTCCTCTTTGCTGTTTGCTGCTGCTCTTCAGAGCAGCTGTTCTGCTTTTGCCTGCTTAATAATGGATGGGTCCAAAGAGTTTAGAACGGTACTTCTTCTGTTTCCATGGTTGTGCTGCTCGTGGTGGTATCTCTTTGAAAGGAATGTACTAATCAGTCTGACAGCTTCTCTATTCGTTCTCATTATCTGTGGTAGAAGATCACTCTGACTTTTCTGTATGTCCTCAGCATGTCTGTGCCATACATCTACCATACTGTTATTTTAGGTTATTAAAATATCCTACTTGGTTAACTCTGGCTTCTGAACTGTAGCTGAATATTCATTTTAGACTGTGTTGTATTAGCAGTAATAGATATTATTCTTCCATAAATGTCTGGTAAAATTTGAACTCATGTTTGTGAATGGCATGTCTTTGTGATGCAGGCTCACTTCAGAGATGACTGTTCTTTGAAATAAAGCAACCGCAATGTTAATGGGGTTTGATTTCCTATCACTTCCCAAATCATTCCCAGGTCCTGAGGGATAGGTGTTAGGATGCAGACTTCAAGTGGCATGTATACTCCCAGGGCATTGCAGAGTGCTGCAGCTTCCCTTGGCTTGTTTTGCTTACCCTACAGAAATACTCCCCAGTGTCCTCACTATAAATTTTACTGAAAAAAAATAAAAGCCACCAAAAACCCAAGTAACCCAGACACTGCATTTAACTTTTTCCAAGAATAAGGCAAAAAAAGAAAGATATGCTGTTTCATGCCATTAATAGTACATTTTAAGTACTTTAAGAAATAATGGCTTGAAAAACAGCAATAGAATGTGAGAAGTACTTGCACCACTATATTTTGGAGCAGGTTCTTAAAGTGCAATGGGAGATGCAGTGTCCACATTGAAAATACTCCTTTTGCCATTCCCCACCACCACCCTCTCCAAACTCCGGTGAGGTCAGGTTGTACTATTGCTCCTCCTACACATTTAATAGAAACTTACAATTTTAGCAGTTAAACTGCCTTGATCACAACCACCAAAACAGCACTCTGCAGCATTTGTTCTTGTATTGCAGGCATGGAGACAAACCCTGAGCAATGAAAGCTTTTTTCTGTTGGAGGTTTTAACGATCCCTCCAGTTGGAACCTGAAAGTATGAGGAAGAAGAGTTGGAGTGGCAAAGGGAGGAGATTAGAACAAGGAGACCAGGAAACAAAACCTGGAATTCTGGGAAAACCTGGGAGCGAGAGAAGGAAGAAGTCGGGGGAGTATTGTAGGAAATAATAAATGCTAAGGCATTTGACATCGTTCAAGGAGCTGGTACAGGAGTCTAGCAGAATTTGGGAGGCAGAAGAAATTAAGTGGGGTAAGGGAGATGTCTGATAAATAGCCAGAGTATAGGGGAAGAACTAGCACAAGATGGAAAAAAAGATACCCTCGAGATGGAGATGCTAAAGTCAGACAAGAGACCCAAAGAGGGAGTTGGATTAAAGTAAATATTACATACAACATCAGGTTCTTTGTTTTGTTTTGGTTTTGTAAAATATTTTTGCCTGTATAGCTTCACGCAGGACTTAGGGTACTGTCATGCAAACCAGTTACTATGAGGAATGTTAGACCGACAGAATATATGTCAGTTGTTCCATAATAACTGACAATAAACATAACTCCGCCTTATTCTAAATAAATTAAATTAAATTAAAAATAGCTAATCACTTAGAGAAAGCAGGGCAGTCTCCTTGACATTCAGCATAGGATAAGAATATGTAGGTACTGAGGCTTCACAGTAAGAGCTGAAGTAATGACTTGCTGATGCTGAAAAGAACAATCCTGCTTTTTCTTCATTTCTGGCCATAGCCATACGAGTCTGCCCTCTCTCATGAGTTAGTTCTGGCACCTAACAGACTCCTTCCTCACAAAATACCCTGTTTCCAGGATAAGCATTTTCAGTTTTATCATTTTTATGCTGGCGTTATGTATTTAAAGAACATCTAGAAGCAGAAGTATATGATTAAATTCCTGCACATAGTCAGGGTAGTGCTTCACTTGTCATGTTGATTAGTAGAAATTTACTTTGCCATTAACGTCAGTAGAAGTTAATGGTACACATGCCTCTACTGGAAGAAAATATTTCCAGTGTTTGTTTAAAAAAATACTATATATGAAATGAATGAGAAATAAATACCAGCTATAATAAAAATAAATTGTCTCTTCCAAGGAAATAGTTCAACAGTTAATAGAGAACAGTACAACATTCAGAGACAAAACAGAATTTGCTCAAGATAAATACATAAAGAAGAAGAAAAAAAAGTAAGTGAATTTTAAAATCTGGAAAATACTTAGTAGTTCTCTAATTTGTTGAGCTTGAAATAAGACTGATACTATGTGTTTCTTACAGATATGAGGCAGTTATTACAATTGTGAAACCATCCACTCGCATTCTTTCAACAATGTATTATGCAAGGGAACCTGGAAAAATTAAGTAAGTTTTCATTTTGTTTCTTTTTTCAAATTATAACAGAGAGATACTTTAATATTTTTCAAAATACCTGTGTTGTACCAGAGTATATAACACTCATCACATTTCTTTTTTTTTTCCTGTTAATGGAAAGATTGTAAATTAATGAAAAATAATGTGATATAGAAGATGAATCAATATGCTGTTGCTATGAAGAGAAGACTCTCTTGCAAGCATCAGCTTTTATCATTTCCTTACAACCACCGTCTTGCTAATTACCTATGTAGACCTATGCTCTTTGCATTTGCAGAGGAATCTCTTGTTGCTCAGTGGCATATTGTCTCTGTTTTCTGGCTCAGTAATCAAAATAACAAGCCACCTACCAGAAGCAGGAATTTTTGTCTTCAACATGTTAGGGAATCAAATCTTCTTCAACCAGAAGTCTCCAGAATTTAAAAACATGTGGTTAACACTGGTGGGGGAAGAGATCTAGCTGTGTTTGATTTTCATTTACCTAAATTAAATGATACATTTTTCCACATATAGTTTAAGATGGACTGACTTACTGTTTTTAAAGTAGTAGAAGTAGATCTAAGATGCTGAGACTGAAAAAGCTGCTATTTATGTTATTTAAGGCTTCTCAAACCTTTTTCCTTCTCCTTCGCCCATCTCCTTCTCTTGGCTTTATTGATCTATTAAGATTAGTTGTAATTTCCTTGGCCATCACTGAGTCTCTTCAGTGCAGGCGCTGCAGTCAGTAGAGTTAGGTTTTGATCCTGGATTGCAGGTGGTGCGTGCTACTGCAAAACAGATGAAAATCACCAAGGATACATTACTGGATTAGGAAATGCATTCAAATACCATTTGTTCTTTGCAAAACTGACATGTTAGAGAGAACAATAAAAAATTGAAAAGTTTAAAAAATATTTTGTCTGACTGGCACAGCATGAGATGTGCACTTTATTACGTGCACCCTACTTCATATCCTACTTTTTTATTTCCTTTGTAAACTTAAACACCCATTCCCTGCTAATTTCTTGTTGGCTCTGGTTCTAGTGCTTCTTTATTACCAGATGGTATTTAAGTTTCTGCATTGTGACTCTGAAGGTCACTGATGCTGTTCCTGAAAATCTACCTGTAATCCAACTTTTTTTGACAGGCTCCTAAGCTAATACACAGTACTTCTAGCTGTAAGAAAACTAATTTGGTATTTCTCAAAATCCTCTGTTTCCTAGCCACTTGCGATATGACACCCTAGCTCAGATGTTGACTTTAGGAAACATCCGTGCTGGCAACAAGATGATTGTAATGGAAACATGTGCAGGCCTTGTGCTGGGGGCGGTGATGGAACGAATGGGAGGCAAGTAACACAGTAGTTTTAGTAATGTACAGACTGAGGGCTTACTTGAAACTTAAGAAATGCGCATCTCTGTGATACTTTTAAAAGGCAGTACTTCAAAATACTTTCTCAGTTTTTAAAATCTACTTTTACTGTCTCCAGTATTCAGAGAGATACTTGTTTTTCCATTGGAGAAAGTTGTATTTTGCATATTTCAGTGGGATTTATTTTTCACTATTTAAAAAAAAATACGAAATTTAAAGTTGATATCACTGTATGTAGATCTATTTTACTTTCTGTCTTAGCATAATGACATTGTGTTCAGAAAAGGCTGTAAGGAGCTTGTATGCAGATTCTTCCCAGGCACCTGGGAAGTCCAGGAAAGGGAATGGCAGAAAACAGGAATAGTAACACTGGAACTCAGATAGCCCGCAGCACCGAAAAATGTCATTCCTCTTGTCCACTGCGCCAGAGATTTAACGTCTGCAAAATGTGTATTTTAAAAGTAGTATTTGACATTTTCTTGAGCGTATTCTAGGAGAAGTTTGACTTGTTTTTTATTTCTCAAACTCAGTTAATTAGTTTCATTGTAAGTCATTCAAAGACACTGAACAGAAATGACAATTATATTCCAGAAGCTGGAAAGGTAGGAAGTGTGATGTAATGTTGTGCACCCAGATGTGCTGTCTGTTGGCTGAGAAGCACACAGGCAGTTATACTATAAATTGTTTTTGTTTCAGCAACTTTTGGCCATAGGGATACTTTCTGAAGTGAATTAAATAAGATGCAATTTCAATATAACTACTGAAAAGTTCTTTTTAGTATGTTTAAGCATCGGACATCTCTTCCTTTAGAGTCTGGATGTTGAAGAAATTCTTTGCCTATTAATGTGTTTAAATTGGCTTTTATTTTTTATCAAAAACACCCCATAGTTATAAGTAACAAATATTGTAGAAAATTTGTCTTTTTAATTCTTAATTAAATTAGCTTTTCTAACAATTTGTCACTGCTTATATGTTCTGTGCGAATTCTAAATACATGTTTAATACATGCCTAATCTTTGAGTTACCTTGTCCTTTTGAGTTGTAGTAACTATTGTCCTTCCAATAAAGATTTTCTACCTTGAGGAATACTTCAGCAGCCTGTTAAATTTCATAAAGGTTAGATTAAGAGCAGGCAATCTACTTACCTATTCTTAAATGAATGCTTCATTTAAGCATTTTAGAAATTTAGAAAATTTAAGCAATTTAAGAAATTCTGGCTTTCCAATGTGTTTTTGATTCTTTTGCTCTCATAGGCTATGGATCCATTATTCAGATGTATCCAGGAGGGGGACCTGTTAGAGCTGCTACCAGTTGTTTTGGATTTCCAAAACTTTTTTTCAGTAATCTCCATGAATTTCCTCTCAGCAAAGTGGATAGTCTCCTCTCTGGGACATTTTCTACAGAGACTCTGCCTTCAGAACCTGAAGATAACGCGCTAGTGGAAGAAGAAAGCAATGGATTGACTGAGGAGAAGACGACTTCCCTACAGGAAACAGAAGAGGAATCCACTACTGAAGCAGCTATGGAGATCAACCAAACAGAAGAGCAGGAAACAATGGACATTAATGCTGAAGATGTAGAATTTAAAGAGAACAAAGAAAAAGAAAATAAAGAAAATGTAAGAATATTTATTGTGGCTATTCAAGTTTTACAACGTCTATATACTTAAAGTTCTGCCGTCTGAATCAGGCATGCTGAAATACAGCTTATTCAGGTGTTAAGATGGAACTCTGGAAGTTGTCTTTTGTCTTACGTTAAGCCATCTAAAATGCAAAAAATGAAAATTCAGTCCATGCAACAGTGATCCAATATATAATTACCAGTTAAAGTGCAAACTATTTGTTTTATTGTTCAAAGGTTCGGGAAAAGCAAAGAAAACAATGGGAGAGAAGGAAAAAGCTAATAGAAGCTGCTGCTTTGTTGAGAGAGAAGAATGCTGATGGGTGAGTCTGGTTGTAGTCGGAAAGGTCTCTGAAAACACATCTACAGAAAATAATTTCCTTTGAAACAAATAAAAGCTTTGTTTTAAAAATACCCAGATTTTTTTCTTAATATTTACAAGCAGGCAGTCAACCCAGGTGTGTCTTGGGTCTTGTTTGGTTCTTACCTGGTTGAGATTTTTTTTGTTATTTAAATGGTTTGAAATTTCATAATCTAAAAGTCATAGTTTCCTGACTAGCTATAAGTAGACATTAAAAAAAATTCTATCCAAAGAGAAACAGAATCCAGATAGAACTTAGGCCGATAAAAATCACAGGATTCTAATTGGCAAAGTAGAGCCTGAGGTTTTAAGTTTATTAAATTGGAACTAAATTTGTTGTTTTGGGGTTTGGTTGGTTGGTTTGCTTTTAGAAATGCATTTTTTTTTACACAGGAAAAAACACGTAACTTCATTTTACCTGCTTTAGCCAGGATCGATTGTTCCCAAGGAACAATTTAACATGAAGATTTAATTTCAGAAGTTTAAAACAAATACGATAAACATATTCCTAGAAATTCAGCCCCACAATAGTGTAAGAGCACTTGGTGGTTGTGACATTTTCATGATGTTCTTAGCAAATGCTGAAGTGATTTGAGTTAATCCAGTAACATTGATTTAGTTAATTTAATAACATTCATACTCATTTTTTCCTCCTAAGGATATTGGCTCACTGGGAATAAAGCCGTTCTGCTTGGATAAACTTTAATACACATTCATTGGTTACATTGAAATGCTTGTGTATAATTTTTGTTTTTATTATTACGAAATGTTTTAAGTCATGCTCATTCATATTTTAGTATATCTCATCTAGCATATTTAAGTGGTAGAATTAGCCTTTTCTATAAAGATGCAGAGACAGGTCATTCCGTGTTCTCTGAAAGCAATAAAACAGTAAAGGAGGTTTGTAAAAAGTACTGCACATCTGTTTGACAGCAGCAGCACCACTGGTGATGCCTGTGGGCGACTGTTAAGCTGCCTCAACAGTGGTAGTGTTTTGTTCTGGTTTTACCACTGTCTCCTGCACCCATCATTATAATTCATGTCTGTGCATGGTCTGGTAAAGCGAAAATTAGTATTTGACTTTACTCGATTCTTCCTGTAGTGTAAAATAGTATATTCGGTTGTTGATTAAGTTTGAGTTCAAGGAAGCCTCTTTAGTATTTGTCTCTTGTTCATTTGTTTTCAATCATTTGTATACTTCTTTTGTCCTTTGAAATGCATGGAAGCTATAACAAATTATATACTTGAAGGGATGAGTGATTTCTTGCTTTAGGAAGTCTTCAGCATGATGGGGGGGGAGGAGGAGAAGTTTATGGTTGCCTGAAGGTACTGTCCCAGATGGCTCAGTCAGGATCACCTTTCTTTAGTCATCTGCTTTTATAGCCCACCATTTGTTTAGATCAAGAACCACAGGGTACATATCCTGCTAAGCCAGGAAAAATTGGCATGGAATAAAGAAATGCTTCAAACTAACGACTTGGCACTTGGAACAAAGAAATGCTTCAAACTAACGACTTGGTGAGTAGAGGCAGGCAGGGAAGTTAGGATTTTGTTTTGTTTTGCAAGAGAGAAACGGGGAAAGGATGGGTAAAAGCTGGTTAGCATTGGAGATGGGGAGAAAGATTAGGACTTACTGTCAGAGTAAAGAAAAACTGGTCGTTAGGTAAAGATGGGCACCAACTTTAGGAGAATTACTTCTTGAGGTCCTGAATTTAACCGTATTTACTACTTAATGTAGAAGATGCAATTTTAATAAAATTTGTATCTTTAATAAAATTTGTATCTTTTGTGCTGTGATGTGGTGAAACATTACTTGTTACTAGATCTATTTGTTCAGTTCCGTTTATGAGAGTTGAAGTCCATCATATGTCTTTGAGGGGGAAAAATGAAGACATTCATTAGGGATTTGGTATTCTTTTAAAGATGACTTTTTTAAGGTAGACTATTACATTTTTCTGATACTATGAAAGTGGAAGTTGGTTTATAGACACTCCACATGTTCAGAATTAGACCACACACCCTCTCTCTACCCTTCCCTGCCCTTCCCCTACCTCCTCCTTCTCCCCTCTCACCCATTACGTTGATTTTGCGACTGGCCAGACTACCTGCTGACAGCAATATGTGCTGCCATATGAGAGAACAGAATTTGATTTCTTACAGTCTCTCCCATCTCTCTCTTACCTTCCTGTCATCTGGCAGAGCTCCTGGCAGTGTCAGTGCAGCACTCCAAGCCTTCTGAGACACAGTCTGGAGTCTTTTTTTCTTTATGGTCCACTTGGTTAATTACTGAGCACAAATTTTTTTGAAGTTTGGATTTGAGATAAATCTGTGGCCTGCAAGGCCATGGCCAGCAGAAAACCGAAATGCAAACAACTGCAAAAGAATTGCTTCACCTTTTTACCTCTATTGTGTTTAGAAAATTGAACATCCATTTTTACTTCCCTTTTGTTAGGTAAGTTTGATGATGTCTCCAGTGCTGTATGTGCCCCTGGAGAATAAATGTTAATTAATTGATGGGTCTTTTCATATAGTAACTATATACTGGAGAAGTAGTTTAATTAGTTTAATTAGTAGTTTAATTAATTAATTTCTGCACAAATACAACTTATTAACTAATTGAATCGTAACCATTTCTTGCAGTATAGTTTAGCAGTGATTTTCTTGATAAAAATTCTAGATACTTGTAGAGAATCCTAAGCATCTGTAAATATGAGTTATAATGTGATATTAAAATGAGGATGAAGAATAAATACAAGTTAAGTTGGCAAGGACATAATTTCTTTTTAAAAGATTTTTAGTCACGCCTACTGAGGGATTGTTTTCTCCTTAAATAATAACTTTTTTATATAAAACTGTATTTAATGAAGATTACACAGCCTAAAGAATCACAACTGAGGTTACATTCTAAGCAACAATTAGCAGCCACAAAATTTTAATCATATTTGGACAATGGTCTTAGGGTAGAGAAAGAAGCATGCAAATTCTTGGGTCGCAAGAATTACTGTGGAGCTCAACACAGCTGAAATGAGTGCTTCTGCAATGCGTTTAATATACTGCACTTTAGGGAACAAGTGTTTTATTCTCTCAATTATGCAAGTAGGAAATCGTGATTTGTTTTTATATTTTGGGACTTGTTAGAGCCATGAAAACATGCTGATTAGCAACATTTAAGCTATAATTGATTGCTGTGCCAAGTAGGAGAGAATGTCACTTGATGAATAGGTTTTAGAAGCAGAAAACTAATGTGCGTGAAATTTCTTTTGCAGCTTAATTGTAGCCAGCAAGTTTCATCCCACTCCTTTATTACTTTCTTTATTGGAATTTGTTGCTCCTTCGAGGCCTTTTGTTGTCTACTGCCAGTATAAAGAGGTAAATCGAGTATGTTACTTTTGCTATTATAGTTCAAGTTTGAGACTATTCTGCTGTATAACCTATGTGGTTTTTTTTAAGCCATTATTAGAATGTTACACATTTTTTTTGGAAAGAGGCGGTGTTATTAACCTAAAGCTGTCTGAAACCTGGCTACGAAACTACCAGGTAAGGATTACAGTAAGTGGCTGTCAAAACTGCATGAATACTGGGGAGCAAAACACACTGAAAATACGTGGTTTTTGGACTGACTGAAACTATGTATAAGCTCATGCATTTGTTTTACCTGAGAGCAGTGGGAAGATATTCTGAAGAGTTTTAATGCTTCATTGCAACAATTTCCAATGGAAATACTTTATTTTCTTCTTACAATGCATTTCATTTAAACATTTGCTGAAATATTTGTAGCACGCTGACAAATCTAATAGTTGTGCTGCTTTAGTAGGTAGCCGAAAGTGAGGGACAATCTAATGTCATGTAAGAGAGATGTAGCAAAATATTACAAGTGTTTACTCATTTCCAGTCGGTTTGATAGCTGGAAAAAAAAAAAAAAAAAAATGTTAAGAATGGTGATGACTTACAAAGTCAATGTCTTCAAATAACTCGTTTCCTGGAACCAAAGTAACAAGAACTTTGCGGTCTGGGAACTGAACAATGAAGACAAGATGAGAGGGGGAAAACATCTCCACAGTGAAAAATGTCGGTCTGACTAACTTTGTTTGAACAAGATGTTTGCACATGTGGAGTACCCTCTCAACTATGAAGAAGCAGAAGCATGTCTGATCTCTAAGCAGCTCGCCATCTCTGAACAGGTTCTTGCATTCTACTGACTTTCTCCTTGCCCATAGGCTTCTGGAGTCCATAGGGAATCATTATTTAGGGGATGACTTAATTCAGGCATGGCCTCGATTACTTACTATTGATCAGGCAACCACACTGGGAATGATTAGGAGATTATAGATGAAGATGTTCACACAAGTTAGGCTTGGCAAGGGTTACTATGTCTGGGTGCAGTTAGGAGCAATACTGCGCAGTCTCCTAGACACACGTAAATCGGCTTAGAGCTGTGATGGCAGCCAAAGCAAGGAGGAAGCATAACTGAAGAGAAAGCAGAAAAGTACAATGCAGCTGAAAGTGATGGTTCATTGCCATGTCTTACCTTAAGAGTAGCTACGTAAAGATTATAGTGACAGAACTGGCAATTACTGTATTACTTAATGCTGTTTTGCTAGACCAGCTGTGATTTCTTGCAAAGCACACCAGTTCTGAACACATGAATGAGACTTCCATGTATCCCAAACCTTGACTTTATGATTTTGCTGGAAATGCCATGAAGAAGTAATCAGTAAGGCAGTAGCCTGTATTCTTAGTATTTCGGTAACTGATTTCTGGTATGGAGATACTTTGCCCTTTAAAGATAAATACACTTTGCAAATGGCTGTTTGTTGTGGCGGCTGGAAAAAAAAAAATCACATCTTATACTGTAAGCTTAAATTACACCATTTGATGTGCATATCCAGAGTGAGTTTTTACGGGTGCTTTGTTTTATGTTTGGTTTGGGTTTTGTTTTTTTAAAGGTCTTACCGGATCGAAGCCATCCAAAACTGACAATGAGCGGAGGTGGAGGGTACCTTCTATCTGGTATAACTGTTGTCTTGGATAAGGGCAAATCTGATTCCAGTAGTTCAGAAGCACTGAACATGGAAGAGCCATCATCTAAAAGATGCAAAGTTCAAGACCCTCATTGTTAACATTTGAAGAATTGATTTGGTTTTTAGATCTCAGGAGTCCTACTGTTAGTAAAATAACAATACACTTTCTGTGCACTTGACAGCACAGAAGTTGTACCTGTCACACACCTGTCAGCAAAAAGCAGCAGAACTGTGTGATAGGGAGGATTCTCTCGCTCTTTACTGGTTTACATGATCAGAATGAGAAGAAAAACCCTTGGAAGCAAACACCCCACTGAAAACACGCTAACTTCAAAAAGAAGAGAAAATCAAGAGAAGATAAAGCATCAGCGAAGGCATTCTGTTTGTTTGTTGTCAAAAGTGGGTATGATGAAGTGTTTTTTTAAAAGATTGAGTCCAAATCAACACATCTAACATAGCTTCCCATTTTCCCAGAACAACATCAGGGTAAAACATTCTACATAGTGATCTGCTCCCTCTTTGGACACAGAACCCGGCTGTGTTCATTGATTTAAGGAAGTAGAATGAAGAGCAAAAATCATACGCTTTTCTTTCCAAAGGAACAATAAAAAGAGAATACTAATACCAGAACTTTACAGCATGACCCCATGTTTTCCTGAAATAAATACAAAAAGTGTATGTTCACAAATTAAAATACCAAATAATTAAACAGAATGTCTGTATTAGTATTGCCTGTCATTTTCCTGAGAGTTGTTACATGTTTTTATTTTAAGATACGACTATTTTGAAAACTGCTATATGTATATTTATTTATTCTACTGTTTTATCTTTCATGACGTGTAGCTGCTTTGTTTGTTTGCTTTTAACTTTGCATTTGCCATTTCCATTAAACTGCAGGATGTTTTTCCTAATGAGATTTATTTCCTTTTTCTTACTTTTCCCTCTTTCTGGAAATAAAAAAGTCTAACAGAGGCTTTAGGAGAATACCCTTGCTGGCTGCACCCCGTTGAACCCCCAGTGGGGAGCTGTAGGCCCATATGGGAGCTTGTAGAGCCTCATAGAGCCAGCAGGACTTGGCTGCCAGTCTTGAACTTAGGCATCAGTGGGAATCTGGAGCTTTGGGACCCAGTAATCAGACTTCATAAAGCTGTGAAATTCTGTATATTGGTAAGAGTAATGCTCTTTTAGGACACCATTAGCTCAAAGCAAAATAAAACAAAACAGGGGTTATACTTTGTGTGAAGCAGCAGTTAAAGATTTCTCTTGGGTGAACAGGTACAGTACATCTTCAGGTTATTGTCTGCCTCTGTTCTGGTTTTTGTGAACTTCCCATCTTTTTTTTTCTATTTTTATGGAAAGCTTTTCTTCTCTTACTTGCATGAAAAACCCATAAATGGAGAGATTGTAGGTTTCACCATCTCCTCTGCATTCCACCAAGCATGTGGATCTGAAAAATGTGCTTTGCCCCTCTCACCTTTCCGTACAGTCTAAGTGTTGCAAATCGGATGTAGGAAATAGTAAAAGCCACGCATCACATTTCTAAGTTTTTTAAAAATTCTGCATTTCTCAACTTTCAAGAATTAGCGGGCAAAGAGGGGCATGGGAAGAGAAGTTTTTCTTCGCTGTATGTCTGCGCCTGCATACTGAAGGTAAACTGGGACTTTCAAAACAGCCAACACCCAGTATGTGATGAAATTCTGAGACAACCTAGCTTAGAGCAATGGATAGGAGCCTGGAAGCTAGGCGAAGGCAAGAAAATGATGAAAGCAGTGTAAGCCAGGAGATTAATACCGAAAAATTATCTTTTGCCTCAGTTTTCTTACCTGGAAAGCAAGTATAGGTGCTTCTCTGCCACTTTCATTGAGCTGGTAGGTACTTGGCTGTCACATTTATAGCACTACAAAGGTATAAAAACTTACACAGTAAAAGTTAGGTTAAGCAATCAACATACATTTTAAATTCTTACCATATATAATGTGCTAAAAATAATAACCTGAGGAAAAAATCTGTTTTACCTATATAATAATAAGATCAGTTTTGAGAAATAAACAGTGTTGGAACATCTGAAAAATTATTTTAGATCAAAGCCAAACTGGCTTCATTTCTCCAGCATTGACACTAACACGCTCTCAGTACTGAATCCTGTCCCCCGTTTTTTAAATGCTTGTACCAATGAAAGATGGTAAGAAACCAAGAAATAATGTAAAATATTTAAAATTATTGATGTCTCAAATTGATGGAACATATTCTGTATGTAATAGTGGAAGAGCACATCTCGATGTAACATTGTTCCTATTTTAATTGAAACACGCAAATAAATGAAACTGTAAAGCCTATAATGAGCGAAGCAAGTTATGATTGCCTGAAACTCTAGGGACCCTCTATATTTTTAGAAGTAACAAATTAGGGAAAATCCAGAACAAATGAGAAGAAAGAGCGTGCATCCTGTAAGATCTTAACGTAAGTTGAAAATAACTGATGTAATGAAAAGCATCTCTAAGAGAAAAGACAAAGCGGGGGTGAGGAAAAGGAAGGCGATGCTTGCCTCCCATTATTTAGTCTCCATAAAGTGTAGCTCAGGAACCTGATAATCGCTAGAGCCTCAAGGCAGAGTGTCCAACAACTTTTATCTCCGGAGGTATAAAACATAACAACTTGCTGTAAGTTAATTTTGGTCAGTGATGTATAGATAAGGAGTGGGGAAAGGTAGTGGATATTAAACCAGAGGTGGGTTCTGTCTCCTGAAGTACTCATCCAGCCTTGAACTCTGCACAGTGAGGATGGCAAATGAGATCCAGGTGCTGTCGGCACCTCAGAGGCACTTCAGCCTTCCTTTAGAGGTTGGCAGCGCCCACGCTCAGCAGCCAACAGATCCTCAAGCCTCAGCTCTAAATACACTGAGGATGTTAGGAAGGGTCAGGGCCTGGCCTGGTAAAGGTATCACTGCACTTAAAAAGAGACTCTGGAGCTGAGTTTATTCCTGTCTTCAGTCACAGAGCAGAGCATTCGACGGCCTTCACTATGCAAATTTGCTGAAAATAGGAGAAAATTAGAAGAAATAAGTAATAAGCTTTTCATTCTTTTGTTTTACTAAAACTACACACGTCAAATTTACCATTAACCAAGGGTGCATGAGCCAGAAGCCAGCCAACACTTTCAGAAGCCAAAACCACTATTTCTGCTTCATTTGATTTCCTGGAACAAGGAATATTATCCACCAATACTTGTTTCAAATTGTACCACCTACCTTCAATGCCAAAAGCAATTTGCCCTTAAATAATGCAAATTTATGTAAATTTTATTGGCTGTTTAAAAAAAGCTCTAGTGTTACCATCAAAAAGTCCTGAACAGGCAATGCAAACACATAGATAAAAATGGAACAGCTACTCGGCTCTCGGCGCTTGTGGCATCAGCCCTGCAGAGCAACGCAAGCAGAACAGAGAAAGGCGACAGATAAAAGGGCTGTCACAAAGCTCTTGGAAGCCACTGAATGATATTTGGTCTTAAAGTCTTCCAAGGGACATGTTTTTAAGCAAAACATTGCTGATTCATGAATGTGTATTTGCATAAGCTGAGCTTTTGAAAGAAAAAAAAAATCTTTGCTAAGTTACATACTTGAACAATTTAAAAAGTTTTCTGTGCTACAACTAAAGCTATTTGCTTCTAGGCATGTACGTACTCACAGACATGCTTTCTCTCATACTACCTAGGGGGGAAAAAGTACCATGCTGCAATACTTCTTGTACAGTATTGTAAATTTTAAAAGGGAGAGCCTCAGAATTTGAAGACAGCAAACAAAGTATTTCTGCAGCTGGGACACCTTCTAACTTTCCTTACTGTTGCTGGAAAAGTCTGGTGAAACCATGGTCCTACTGAAGTCAAAGTTCTGTCAACTTCTTTGAGCCTGGATTTGAACTTCATGTACCTTTACCAGACAAGATGAAACATTTGAGTGGTCTTACCAAAATCCCTAGGCACAGACATGCTTACACAGTTCAAGGATCACTAGCTCACTGAATATTTTCAGTTCACATTGCCTTAGAGTTAACCGGAGACTATGTTTGTGTTCTAATGAGCAGGTGGATTAAATGCGTTACACTGGGATGACAGACAGTACACATTTACTGATAATGTGACTCGGCTGAATTCTTTGTATAGCACCTCTCTCCTGTGTGTGGTGTTACACAAGCAACTGAAGACACTGTCACAGCAGAAAGTCTGTAAAAAAAAATGCATTTGGATAAGTTAAATTAAACGGAACCCCAGATATTTGGAGTAATTGAAACTAATTACGGGATCATTTCTTTTACTGCTTCATAGTGTCATATGATTACCAAATGCCTCCTTCCACACACCACTCACTCATTCTCCGTAAGACATCGTACAGTTCCACCACGCAGAGCCCATCCTGCCCCCAGCCTGCTGGCTGCGGAGAAACTCGCCTTGTGCAAGATCAGCCCTGCTCCAGTGCAGCACACAGGCTCTGTAACGCTTCTCACCACGACCTGCTTGCCTGCAGTAGGCAGAAAGAACGTGTCCGTTCTTTTAGCAAAGCGTGTCCGGTAGGTGATTAAATTAATGGGACTGCTTAGTCTGAGTAAGCGGCAAAACCAATCCACTATGTAACGCATTGATTCTGAAGCGCCACGTGCTTTCCAAATCAACAAGCACACATTTGGTGTTGCAACCCCTTTGCTTCTTTAATGACTAATTTCCAGAACTAAGTAATTCACAGGACGTTTCTGAGTTACTAGAGCAAATCAGTCGGGTTCTTCCTTACCTCTCGTGCTCTTGCTAACTGGCAAATAAAAGGCACAGATAGGCTCCTTGTAACTTTTAAAAAATATTGGTGAACCACAAGGCAACATCTTGTACATGATCTATCCATCTGATACAGCTTACTTTGAAATAACCCAATCAGTCAAATAAGCAAGGAGAAAGTTTTGTCCAAGATCAATGTTTTTTATTATTTCAAACTCAGACAAATATATTTCTGAAGAACACTAACACAATTATTTTCACAAGCATATTAAAAATATCTGCCTTGCATGAAAGGTTATAATACTAAACTTCATGCTATTCAGATCTCAATAGCATAATAGCAAATTAAAGACATTTTCAGCTGTATAAATCACTACACTATAGTGGACAGTAAATAGTATTTCCTGTTTTTAGGGCAAACAACAATCCAGTGGCAGTGAATTTACCACAAAATACAGGTATTGTGAGTACAGCTACACCTAGCTTTGAAATGCCAAAGCAGATCGTCTTCAGCCTCTCCTGTTGTC